CATGTATGGAATATTTACTTCCATTGACCCCTGAAATCACCAGGATTATAGGTACATATGCCGTACATGGAGCGCTTGGGTATTGAATCTTTCCTTTGAACATGGTGATCCTAATTAACCCTTAGTTGGCTCATAGTTCAAATCACCAGTCCAAAGTTCGTTCCTGCTCCACACATGTTCCTCCACGCGAAACATGCAAAACATCACGGATTTTTCGTGACACCCAATGCCCAACTGGGCTGGAATTTTGGGCGTGTTCATGCGCTCGCTGCTATTCAACAACTGAAATAGTCACAGTTTGCACCATGAAAATGGCTCATCCATGTAGGTATAACTCTTCCAATCCGGATGGTCTGGGTTTGATTTGCAGGTCTTGGATCACGGATTCTACCGCAAGCAGCCGGGTCTCTATGCCTTCGATGGCCGTGAGCTGCGCGTTCGGCACTCGAAGGGTCGAGATGGGTGGGCAGCCTGGTGAACGAGTGGAGCATGGATGGAACACGTTGGAAATCGGTGAAGATTGTGGAGCAGGATTGGAACACGAATCATCTAACCTATCCAACCATTGTAAATCAGGTTTGCTTTGAACAATTCACGAGGTACAAGACTGTTTTGAACAAAATCTGGATGCACCTGCCTCAGGATGCATCGACGCCTACAGCAGAGGTCAAAGGGTTGAACCAACCGCCAACGCACCGGAAGAAGTGCAAGTAAAAGGGAAGAACATGGTCCTGGGAAAAACAGTTCTGGGATCATATCGATTAACATGCTCACAAATTGCGTTTGAGCAAACAACAGGGCTTTGACCAACCTCTTTTGGGGTTGCTTGTTCCTGCAATGGTCCAGTGGTTGGTTCTTGGGAATCAAGCAAGATGTGATCACCGTTGCCTCGCATGTCAGGGGCTAAGCGGCTAAGCCCACGACTTGATTCAACAAGCATGACATGAGGGAGATGGCCAGAATGTGGCCTGCATCGAGATGCAGGAACCAGTGCAACCAGTGCAACCTTCATCCCGCACCAGGCCAAGCCTCCAAGGCCCACCTCCCGCCAATCGAACTCACCGCAGTTTGGGGGACCGGCCGATGAAAACGAGGAGAAGAGAAGCCAGAACCCTTCGAACCTGAAACGCGATCACCACACGAGGGCAACCCTGTGAACGACCGTAGCCAGAAGTGCATCGCTACGAACGTAGCAAGTCGTATGCGAGTAGCTCAGTGCATGACTACTGTAGCAAGGACACTACTCGGAACAAGGTGCATCGCTACTAGTAACAACCTTACCGGACCTTACCTATACCCCGGCAGGTCACCTTTTTTCGGGGGATTGGGGACACCCCACTACACATGAAGGGTGAAGCCTAGCCTAATCCCCGGTAAACGCCACCTCCAATGAGTGAGTACTACCACTATGTTGGCGAATAGAGGCGCGAAGAGCACTCCGAACGCGTCCAGGTGGAGCAATCCGAACGAGGTTTAGTGCCGGACCTCAGGTCTTCAAGGTTTTGGGAGCCTGTTGGCATCGTTGCGAGATGAACCGACGTGCAGAACCCCAACAACAAGCAGGGCCGCCTGCTGTATGTTTTTTGACATTTGAGTTCTTTCGAGGTGGTTCGACTGATTGAAGTTTGAGTGTCACTATGAACACCGCAACATTTCCCTCCATCCCCAGGGAGGGAAGACACTGAGACACATCAATAACGCTCACGCAGATAGGGTGACGCTTCAACCTAATCTCCATTGAAAAGATAGAACGGTTAAGTCCCTCATAAAACCTGCTGGGACATGGATGGTTTCAAACATCATTTCGGACCTATAATTGAATTCCCCCAGCGGAGTATTAAATATTTGAACATTCTCGAAGTATCGATTTTTGTGTTTAGTCTTTTGATGTTTTTTGTTTTTCTCCTGTTGCAGAAAAAGGACGTTTTCATAATAATTCAACCTTGTTTGCAGGTTGACAAACTGAGCTCACATGAACACCAGCAAGCTTTGCCGTTTACTCCAAGAAGGGTTTTGATTCTTGCTCCAATCTCATGGAAGCAACACTCGTGCATTTTTAGGGATGTCTAGTTGAAAGCGCCTGTTTCTGGTTCTCAGCCATGCAAAGCATAAAACAACTGTTGTTCCCAGATGCTCAAAATGGCCCAGACCCATGCAGAGTCATTGAGTGTTTTGCTGGTTCTATTATGTTCTACTTCGTTTGGGTCAGCATTTGGATACTTTCTGGTGCAAAGTCTGTTGCCACGCCGCTCAGGTCGTCTTGGATGGTCCCTTACGACAACCCATGGTCGGGGGCATGGCTGCGAGGGCGGGATGCAAAGTGCATGGCCAAAGCTGGAGAGTGCCATTGGCACGGTGAACAAGCACGTGGAAGATTAAAAAGTGCTGAATTCTTGGACACATAAATATTAATCAATTTGTACCAACAAATATTAAATATCACTTATGTGGAAAACATGCAATATCTATTTGTTGTGGACTACAGCGTGTCCGGGTTTTCACTTCCGGCCTTTCTCAAGCAGGTCCAGGGGGAGAGTTCTTCAAAACAAGCATGGTTGGGTGACAGGTGGTGTTGGACCTTCCAACACGGGCTGTGAATATCACAAAGAAACACTGGGCGGGTGTGGTTTGCAAACATCAAGGTTCTGCCACAAGATTTACATCACCTCATGTGGAGTCGACCCAAATCACCACCTCGACAGGTTCCCAACACTACCTTAGTGACAAATGCACCATTGTAGTCTCCGCAGGGCAGGATTCCAGTCCAAGCTGGTTCATTTTCACACCCAAACGGGTCTTTCGAAAGGAGTATGGATCTTGGTGAGTATGAATCCCCTGACAAAACCCAGCTGCGAGTATGGATCCCCCTGTTCGGAGCCGGGATCGATCTCTCATCACTCACGTGGTCCACGGCGATCGACGTGTTCTTGAAGATTGTGTGAGGCGGACTACATGGCTTGTTCTGAGAAGAACGCCGAGTACGACGTCCAAGGCGCGTCTCGTTTGTTTCTTTTCAACGAGATGGGTGAAACCGGTGAGCACGCGGTGAGGCTTGTGGAGCCCGGTGATGGGTTTGAATGATCGCGTTCACGTTGAGGCTTGGATGAAAGCGTTTCTGGCTTGATCTTCATGACAGTTCATGGTGACAGTGGACTTGGCTATGAAGGAACTCAAGTGTTCATACAAGTTGCCGTGGCTCTTACGACTAATTTCCCATGTTCAATGTCCGGTTGGGAGTTCAGTCTTTGAAATGTCTCTCATGTGTTGATGGCTGGTCAACGCGCGCTCAAACAGATTCGCATCCCCTTTCCCAATCTCTACAAGAAAGACGTTGAAAGACCCCAAGGATTTTCGATACGGCAGGCTCGCAGCGTGCTCGACGTTTTTCACGAGAGAAGAGAATCCTGTCAGGTGCCAGTGATGACACATACAGAGTCCAGTCTACCTGGTGGTAAAACCTCACTTGTTTCATCAATAAAGCCCAAACCCTTCAACACCCCCTCCGGAGTTGTTTTTGAAATGCACTTCACCAAGACCTCATTGAGCAAAACAAAGACCCTCATTGGGCAAGTGGATGCAACTGCTATTGACGGTGCATGCAACACCCTCCATTCATGACTCCATTCCAACACTGCGTTTTCCATCTCCAGGGCGACAGGGTGTGCTTGATCCAGAAAAAGGACACCACGTCAGTTAGGTTGACCATGGTTGACCTCCAGTGGGATGATTGGGTTGGCCTGTCCACTCACCATGATTCCAAGAATATTCACCAGACGTTCAAGGGGGTGAGCAGGAAACAGGGCCATTCCGAAAAAAGACTTCGACATGGGGTGATTCCTCCTGCGAAAGTTTACGCCATGACCTTTTTAACTCGAATGTGACTGCTTTGTTGGGAGATCCTTTGCCATGGCATGGCTGCCGGCAGAGGGCCGCCTTTGGAGGACAGCTCCAAAACCACAGAACAACACGCGCTTTGTTTTCCTTTGGTGCGGTAGCAAACGCTGAAGCGAGTCATCTTGTTGTCCTTTTAGAGGTCCAACTACCTCGTGAGAAGCTAATTGAAGGGTGGATATGTCGATAGAAGATATTTGATGTGTTGATGTGATTGAGCCGGCGCATTTTGTTCGCTTCTGACCAGTCTCTTGTGGCTTCACTAGACCAGACGCTTCTTTCGGGCAGACCGGAGGTCGACTTCACTGGGAACGCTTCTTTGGGGTCGAGGGTGAACGGTTTTCTCCACGTTGAGGTGGGAAAAGAGGTGGTTCTCATTCAGTTCTACGCTGTCTTCTGATGCAGAGCTTTCAATTGGACCCCTATTTCCAATCAACACTTTCTTTCTTTTACTCAGGTTTAAAACTTAAAGCTTGTTTGTATACGTACGTATATGTCGCCTGGGAAGAAGAGCTGCCACAAACAGGAGGATTTAGGGGCACCCAGTGGGGCACCCCCATGTTGAGATAAATCATAAATCCGGGATTTTTGTATTTTGTTCCTCAAGCTTCAGGTTTCTGATGTTTTGTTGTCGCGGGTTGCGTTGCTGGAGGTTCCTACATTCCAGTAATCTCCCACTTTGCTCACGGATGAGACGTGTTGTGCTTCACACCAAGCAAGCAATAAGAAGTACAATTACTTTGGTATACACTTCTCCAAAGGGAATGCATCATTTGGAAGATAGGGAGAGATGGACGCATGGTCAGAACCCTTTGGTTTTTGGTTTGGCATCCTGGGTAGGTGAACAGCCCAAGGACCCACCCCAGATTGCTGGCGAAGCGATGTTTGCCTTCTGAAGCTGGCTCACGATGCACATCCCAGAAAACTGGATTTACAACGGCAAAATAGCTGAGCATGCAGGTAGTACTGGACGCAACCAAGTGCCAGAACACAGGTTCGGCCGTTTTTTTGGTGCCTAGCTATGCAGTCAACATGCAGGAAAAATAAGGTTTTGATTGCACACCGTGCACCCACACAAACGCCTCAAATAGGCTTCGCCAGGTTGGTCAGGAGAACATCCGAATTTGGTTGAAGGGCTGGGTTTCTGTTAGTGCAATGGAATCGGAACATCGAGTGGCACTGGAAGATGACCCGAGCTTGGAGATTCGTTCACACAGTATCAGCCACTGGGTTTTGCAATGGGAGGCAAATGCTTGACAGATCTTGACAGGGCACTGGGTGGATTTGGGACTTGCTGTGGTCTAAAGTTTCACAAAGACATGTCGTAGAAGTGCTGGGTCACTGAATGGTCCTCCGGTGTCATGCACCATGATTCTTCCAGGGAGTGCAGGTGAAGCGCCAGGTTGGAACTGGCGCCGTAACTATATAGACCATCCGGACATCCAGGTGTCCGGTTGCCAGAGGGCCCATCAAGCATCCATTGGTGGCGTTCTGGGTAGTCTTCTAGGTATATATCAGTATATCCTGAACATTCCTGAACATGTTATAGGAATTCCAACCATGGAATTGTCCTTGGATCTTTGCACATTGTTGACACGACCTTGTTGTCCTAGGTCCTAGGTTCACCACATCCAGAACATGGTCGGCCATCATGGGGCGTTGGGCCGGCGCAGGCCTCTTGGGTCACTCGGATCCTCGCCGATCGATCGCCCAGGTCGCAGTAGCATGGGATCCCCGGCCTCCGCCGTGGCACGATCGGAATCCGCCGCGCTGGCGCGGCTGGCACAACGAGCGGCTTGATGTGAACGTCGGTGTGGGAGGAATTCATCGGGATGATTAGGTGGGGGGGGCAAATCATATTTGCCACCCCCTCCTCAGAGTTTTATACTGTAGTTACTGTAGTTGGTTGGTATATATAGCTAGTTTGTGTTCAAGGGTTGTGATTTGAACCAGAAACAGCAAGTACATGCAAATACATTGAAGCATTTCACCCCACTGTATGTAGCCTTGAAAGGCCATTGATCAAAATATGTGGTTGACCTGCTTGGTCGTGTTAAACATCCCGAGTAAAACAATGGTTGCGGCTGGGATAGGATTCAGGCGAAATCATGGCAGTTCTTTCACCGCCATGTGCTCCAATTTCAAGTGCTCTACAAGCTACGGAAGCTACGGAAGCTACGAACGTAACTTCTGGCATTACTACGAATCGTAACGCGTGAGCGGGCATCGAAACCGAACGCAGCAGCAAAGGGCAGGGCATGCGTTCGTTACGACATTCGATCCCTGAGACGTAATACGGCGCCGCGGCTTCGACCATCGTTACGTTCGACTTCGTTACTAGACTAAAGACCTTCTCGTTTTGGTCGTGTTTTCAGTCCTTAGTTGATTCGATAAAGCCTACTAATGGTTGGAAGCCTAGGCCTAGGGTATTGGTTATCGATCAGCGCGCAGGTGGCGGACATGGGCATCACGCGTCCGGAGGTGCTGCGTGTGGTCCCTGCCTATCACGCCTTCCAGAGGCCTGACGGGGGGCGGACGCGGGGGGGCAAGCGGTGAACAAGACAAAAGCGTATTCGGTATACCATCTAAACGCAGTTGGGCATCTTTTTTTCTAAGACGCAGTTGTGCAAACTGGTGGTTCCTATTTTGACTCAACATCATGCCGTAGGGTTCCAGCATTTCCGTCCATTCCAAGTGCATCGCCGACAGATGATTCGTCCAACACGGAGCCCAAAAACACCACGGAGCTGCGGTCCGACGCCCGGCCGACTGGTGCGCACGAACGGGCGCAAGGGGCCCGCGGCCACCCAAACAGCAGTCTCCAAGGGTTCTTGGGCCACCGAGTGAGGGTGGAGCCTCAACATGGTCCTCTTCGTGTATCATGGTCCATCATGGAGCAACATGGTCGGCTCTTCTTCTCCGTGCCCCACACCTACCGGCGTCTCTTCGCTCGCGGGCAATCCGCGGCTCAGTCAGGTGCGGCGCGGCGTTCCGGTCCTCGACACGGGACGAGCTCTACCACATGAGCGTGGCGAGCGAGGAGATCCCATGCTTTTGGTCCCATTCCTGGCACGGGGGCCACAGGAAGAAGGTGCGGCGAAGGTTCGGACGGACGGAAGGAAAACATCCTGCCCAAAGCGGTCCCTCAAAACAGTTGAGACTCCGGACCCCTTATTCCGTCTATGAGGGCCCATGAGGGTTGGGGTATGAGGAATGTTGAGGATGGATAGGTCTACATCACGAGCGGAGAAATACCCTGTTTTTTGCGCGTGTTTCTTTTTTGGGAACGCATGGGAACGCGAAACATCCTTGCCTGTTGTGTCTTCAGGTTCTCACTCTTTTGACCATCTACAACGGCCCTGCAGCCATTGCCTGTGGTGTCCTGGTTTTGCTGATCAGTATACTTTTGTTATGTTCCATGATTATCTCCCCAACGATGGTGAATCCTCTTTACTTTGGCGGGAGGTTTCAGATGGTTTTAGTATTTGTCGTTTTTTCTTGATCTGTTCCCAGTTGTTCTTTGCCAATCCAAGGTTTTCTGGCTGCTTTGAGCATGATGGCGCTCTTCAGCTATGGCCAACTGCCAGGCATTCAACGAGATCGCCGAGAACCTGAGAAGCTTTCCTCGACGTGGCCGCGTCCTGAGAGTTCCAAGGGTGGTTGTTGTTCCAATGTTCGTTGGACCTTGGAGCCAGCCATGGGAGTCAAGACCTATTGACACCCATTTCCATGATGGAAATGGGGGTAAAGACATACGCACACCCTAGCCGAAGACCATGAAAAGCATGGTTGACATACGTACATGCGTATACCCTAGCCTTCAAAGACCATGAAAAGCATGGTTGACCTGGTTTTGTACGTTTTGTAGGTGTAAAACCCTTGGTAAAACAATGGTTCTTTGGCTGTTGGAATCCTAGGGTATGCATACCTCGACTCTGGAGTGTTTGGGTATTTTGGGTCTGATGCGTCTGTTGGGTCGTACGACTCCTTCCGAGGTCACTTTGTGCCGGGATTTCCGTGGCAACTCGTCCGGTCGCGAAAAACGTTCAATGTACGTTTTGGTTTCCCGATGTTGAATAAGTTGGTAGCCCCGAAAGATGAACTGTTACTATCAATATTACCAGGACCTTCCAAGAGGTGTCTATAAATAGCCTCTTAGAGGTTAAGGGGTGTCCAAAAACCACCTGTTGGAAGGTGCTGGTATATTACTATATTATATACTGTTTTTTCTAGGTTCTCTGACAAGTCAAGTGAGGCAATGCTGAGCTTTCTGTTTTGGCGACCGCAGAAAAAGGTCTTTTTCGACCGGATCTGTATCAATGAGACGGACGTTGATTTGAAGTATGACGCCATCTTGAGTCTAGCTGGAATGCTCAAACGATCATCAGCCGCTTTGCCATTGCAGGTCTTTTCTTTGGGGATCTTGGGGGGAAGATTTCATCAACCGCCGAGAAACCCTGTTACAAGTGAAACTAACGACTTAATTGCCTCTGAACATACAGTCTGGGCTTGGCAAGGTCATCCATTCTTCTTTCGCAAAAATCCGAAGTCCAAGAATAGTCCCACCCTTGCGGACTCCCAAAAAAGTCTCAAAAGCTTGGCGCTGGGCGCCTCTTCTCATCCACCTGGGCAGAGCTGTTCTGCGAACCGCGGACCCCAAAGAACAAACGCAATGCACCGCGATGCACCGCGTCACCGGAGTCGGGTCGGTCGCTGCATGCAGCACAGCAAAGCAGGGGCTTGCCACAGGCAGGAACGGCGCGACGGAATGGACAGATCCCTACGAAACCGCAGTCATAGGTGGTCAACCAATGTTTTGTGTGGTTGATCCGGTGTAGACGTGGGTTTTTTGACGGCGCTTCAACTCATGCATCCGCAGGCCCAAAAATCTGTACCAGAACACGGTCCGTGGGTTTCTGCCATGTTCTTCCCACGAAACCGTCATTTGGTGACATGATGTGACGAGCTCGTCATACCTCTCGAGACGAAGAGGGTGACGGAGAGCGCTGGCCTGTGGGAGCCGAGTCATCGGTCGCTCGAGTCGCGGGTCGCTCGAGTCATCTCAGGAAATGTTGGTCCTTTGGGATTCGTCGTGGTCTGAACGCTTGTGGTGCTTATTTGAGCTCGCAGCGTTCTTGAAGAGCAAGAGGAATAGCAAACAGGTGCTGACCATCAGGCCGGGTCATCGAAGTATCCAGGTCCGCTTCTTTTGCGACCCAAACAGACCGGGTCAGCGATATCGAAAGCTCATGGCTCGATTACGACCCAAAGCCTCTGGACTACACTAAGTATATATAGGGATCTTCAACCAGGACATCCTTTGGAGTGTCGCCTTGGAAGTTCAGTCGACGATTTACAGCAATGGACTCTGACTCGATGATACACGTTTCGTAGAATTATGACGGAAATCAATACAACATGAGCCGGAATGCTTATCCAGGCCCTTCCACAAGTCTGGATAATGACTAGAATCTGAATGTGTTTTCCTGCGCTGATTCATGGGTCGGGCCCGACCTGCTCCGTCCGTTCGCTTGCTGCAAATCAAACAACCAAAAACAACCCTTGTCAGAATGCTGGTCGAAATGGCCTCCACAAGGTGACCCACCTGATGTGGTTGAGCAAGAGGGTGTCCGGAAGAACTGATTTTTGTTTCTCTCATGATCTATGAGCTACATATCAATGTTGTTAAATCATGAATCAAAACAAAACATCTAACATGTCATATATTGAAACAGCTTATTCATGTCAAATATATCTATACTTGGAACATCATCCATCCAACGATTCTCGCAGAGACGGTCTTTGCGCCAAAAAGATTCATGGCCCTCGCCCCGCGCAGGCCTACCTTTCTGGGTCCCTGCTCTGTATGCGCCTTTCTGGGTATGTCATTGGCCTTTTTACCTGTGACCACCTTCCCAGCCCAGCGATATTCTTTGCCGGCCATCTTCTTGTGTGTCACTCGGAAGGTCTTGGAGTGGAGAAATGGTCGTTGGATAGGAGAAAACCAACGGGCGCGGAACGTTTTAATGGGTGGAATGTTTTAAAGTCTATCGCTTCTTTAGGGATACGTTCCGCTATCCGGCCCCAAAAAACGCCTACAGTTTGGGGATTTCTATGATGTTCATATATGTCCATCATATTTGGTCAACAGAGAGAGAGCAAGAAACACAGACAAAATCCGCTGGGATGAGAGGATTTCTCCGGTCCCGTGGTCGAAAACCTTCCGTGTGGGGGGCGAGCGGTCGATGTTGCGCGGCGCCCGATGACGGCGCTGGATGGAGAGTGAGATGGGACGGCCATGAGCTGTTTCGATTTGGAACGATTTGGTTTCAGAATTGGAATTAGGCCCTATTGGTTCAAGAAGTGAGCTATAGTGGTCGCAAATAGAAAGTCTATAGATCCACCGTCTGGACCTAGCAAAAATAGGCCGGGTGATACAAGTCCACAAAGGACCCGGCCTATGAGCGCAACTGGATCAATCATTTAATTGAGACAAGTCCACATGATTGAAATGGGATGCTCCACATTACGAGGCACTTCAGATGCACTCAGCATCTTGGTGAGATGCATTGGGAACCGAAGTTTCCACCTGATCAACATGACTAAACCTACTTCTAGAAGCATTTTCGATGTCCTTGTGTACTTCAATTCTACAGCAAGCTCGTGTAGAGCGAAATATGGTCAATACCTCCATTCACCCCTATGTCGCCCCACCTGTCTGGCGGAGCGGTCACAGTTGAACAGCTCAGTCGACCTCGTCGACCCCGGTGTTTGATCAAACTCGGCCGACGGCACCATCCCCAAGCCCCCGCAAGCTAGAAGCACGCAGGTGTTGGGCACACTCGCTCCAAGATGAACAAATGCATCAACTAAGTGATATATATAAATTGCGTAATTGTGATGTGTTTCAAACAAACTGATAGTTTTACTTTTTGTCAAGTAATGTATGTGTTTTTGAATGTTGCTTTTGATTGTCCTTTTTGAGCACTCCACCAGGTCTTTGGAACTCTCTCCATTTGCGGCTGCTCCATGGCCTTTCGCGGTTACTTTCGCTCGGTGGAGCGACTGAAAGAGCAATTGCAAAGTGTGAAGTTGGAGCAGACCAGGAGCTTGTGCCTCACCTAAAGCTTGAGCTTCAAGATGTGGAGCTTGTACCTCACCTAAAGCTTTGAGTTTTTTTCAAAATGTGGTCCCCAATATAGATAGATGGTGGCATGGTTTCTGCACAAAGCTTTACAGTGGTCCCCGAATATATGGATAGAATCGGTGTCCAAGTACATCATTAGTCGGGATCTACTTTCCTATCTATTTGGGGGTCTATATAGGGCTTCTGACCCGGTGATTCTATGGTAAAGTTCTGTTTGATTTTCCTGGAAAGTTGGGCTACCCTGCGGCTACCCTGGGATCCGTTTTGTTCAGAACCGAAAGATGACAATCCACAGGCTTTTCCCTGCAACTCCACCACCTGCAACTCTCAAATCAGCATTGTTATACAACTCAAACTATCACAGAATGTTGCTGCAAATCTTGTTAATCGAACATGCCAGCCGAGCTTGTGCTGTACACCTGTAATTTGGAATAGCCCCTGATCCAACAAAATCAACCTTGGGGCCGTGCTATGGACCAGCTTTCTTAAAGCAACAACTAGTCATCCAATAGGGTAACTGGCTTGAGCCTTCCACTTCCGTTTGTTTTCAGCGAAGGATATGATGAGTTGAATTATGTTCAGCTACTATGGTTGACACTGATGTGTTGTTCCTCATGTACCAATGCAATACAGAATATGACCACATATCAAACACACCTAGGTTGCCTCTTTGACCCTCAATTTGAGGCTGCCAAAAATGCACCAATATGGTCAGAAGTCCTATCACGGTTTTGGGATTGGGTCTAGGCGAGGCCACCTTGTTGCCCTGTGCGGGGATGGGGCGGATAGATCGCTCGAGAGGTGCTGCGATACCAACCACCGAGATGCAGAGGGTCGTCAAGTGATTTGCGACCGAGAGATCCTGAAGGACGCAAATTCCGTCGAGAGAGGCTTTTGTTGGAACCACCTGGCAGCCCCTCCCCCACCTGGCAGCATGGTGGACATCCCTTAGAGTCTCAGAGAAGAATCTGTTCCTTCAACAGGGTGCTGTGGGTTTAGGGGCCATTAAAGGAACACCCCGGTGTAAGGTTTGTGTCTAAGGATCTTACGGGGTTTTGAACGCTGCTCATATGGTGCCCCATGTGCCTGCGCTCAATGAATCTAGCAGTGAATTGGCCAAGGAAAAGCTTGCCTTGGATCCAGGAGTGAACGTTTGGTCCATGCATCAATGAAACCGCAATCGTTTGATCCTACAAGGGATTGCTTCGTCAACCATTTTTACCCCAAAAAACTTTGATTCAGAGGGAGCTTCTACTCACAACACCACTCCTCACTGGTTCTCACTCAATTCTCATTCTTCTCACTTACTTTCCTCACTCTCCCAGTTTTTCGCTGGGTGCCTCGCTCACCGACGCTGGGCTCGCCCCAAACAACCCACCCGACCCGGCGCGGACCGCGCAGCGCGGTCCGGGTCCGCGCTGCGCAGGAGTGCGTGGCCTTGTGGTTCGGCAGCACCGAAGCCTTCGAGGAGACCGTGCGCCGCGACGTGGCGGAGCTCGTGGCCTCCGAGCTGGACCGCCGCCTGGGCGCCACGGGAAACAACGGGAAACGCTGCGGTCTCCTGGTTTTTGACCCGTAGCTCTGTCAGACTGGGTGATGGTTGGTGTTTGCTGCTGGTCATAGTAGCATGTGAGTTAGCATGTGTTTTAGATATGGTTTAATCAATATGATGATATATGATGTGTTGATTACTTTTTGTTTCCAGTTCGTTCTCATGTTTTGGTCGATGCTTCTTTCTGCCATGGGACTTCTATAGATTGACTTCATCCTTTTTCGCCGTAATCATATCAGTATGAGAATCGCTGAACGGGATCCTTGTATTCTTTACAGGCGCATTTGCAGATCATCCTGAAATAGATTTGGTGTCACCATCCAATATGGCTGTGTCACCTGCAGGGTGAACATGGACAGCGATCCAACGAATTGGTAACTGCGATCCAACGAATTTCAACTCCTGGGGATATATGAAGCTTTCTTCAAGGTTGCACAAAGGAATTAACCTGAGTCGGATCCTATATCACACTCCTAAATCAAAAGCATCCAAGACTATAGGTTCATTCCGTGCCCGAAACTATGGCCGATGAAATCGCCCGTTCATGATGTTGAATTATATATTAGGGTCAAAGTGAAATTCTCGACTTAACCACATTTCCCAATACTGCGCAACTGTTTTCCATGTTTGTTGTTTTCCTGATTTACTTATTTTTTTCAAGTCATGTTCCTAATTTTGCCCGGTGATTTATTGGTGTATTGATATTTCCCTGATGTCCCCAAAAAAATCGAGGACTGGAAGAGACCATCCCCGCTCGAGTGTGAACAGAAGCCACATGCTTCGCCCGCTCTCCCTTCGGCCCAGCGCGCTCCAACACGGCCCAGCGCTGCGTTCCATGTTCCATCGCTGGGTCCGAGTCGTCTGTACCACGGGACCAAAAAACTGAGGTGTGTTCAATCGGAGATGGAGCATTGCTGTGAGCATGCCGATGTTCTGGGCTTTAATGGCTTCTTGGACTTAAACATGGCTTTCTCGCAGATTCTTCCGAGGTCTTCCTTTGTTTTTGCCCAACATCGGGTTGTTTGGGATTTTGGTGAGTCAACTATAAGTTTTAAGGGTCTTGGTCAACTATATAAGTTTAAAGGGTTGTTTGATTGATCCCTGATTTTCAGTGACGAGAGTCTGAGCGGAGGGCGCCTTTCTCGCTTTTTGCGAGTTTCAAGGATTCTCAGTCAAAAAAAGTATCCAAACAGAAAACACAGCTTCCTATAGTAGTGACTATAGTTGAGTGGACCCGGTGCGATGTGAGGATCATAATGGAGCGCGCTCTGATTCTTTGGATTTTGTAATTACAAGTAAGTGTTTCCGATGCAAGATCCAGTGTGGGAGCTGCTGTTTTTCACATGTGTGGATTCCAGTAGCTGGTTCACTTCATGTTCGCGTTCACTAGCTCAGGATTGCAGTGCAACTCACTGGAAGACGCAGGACTTGCCGCGAGCCGTCGCATGGTTTGTGGGAGGCTTATCGCTGTGGTACCTTGGACTGAAGAAGAGAGTACACTCCCTGAAATAATCATCTGAAGTGGAAAACCACCAGTTTGTAGAGGAAAACTGGCCATCCAAGGGGCCATTTTCCACTTCCATGATTATTTCAGGGAGAGCATGTAGCGTGTTGGTTCCTTATGAGTGCTGCCAATGTGCTGGTGATGTGTTTCATGGATAGAAGCTGGCTTGCCAAATCGATACACATATTGCTTCCAGCACATGTTCAAGGGTGAGCGAAGCTGTGTGCTTAAATCTATGTTGGATTTGCCAGTCAACGTATTCGGCCATAGCTAGATCAGGTTCCAAGAGTTTGATCATTTGTTCCAAGGGTTGTTGCACTCCAGGGTTGTTGCGTTGAGAATTCATGAATTGGTTTCTGCTAGGTGCTGAGTCAACAGACACTGCAAAGAAAGAAAGAAAACAAGAAAGAATGGTTGTTGCACTCAACACATCACTTGGCAGTAGCGAAGAGCAACGCTAAAGTGATGCAATCCGAACATCCAACATCGGCGGCAAGGCTACTATAAGCAAATAGCTAATTACTAGTCGCTGCGTGGCGTGGAACATCCGATGGATCTGACATCAGTGCCACTGGATATTACTTGTTCCTAGTTACTAGTAGTAATGGCCTCCAAGCTAGTAGCTTCTAGCTACTAAGTTACTAGTAGTTTCTTGTTACTCTTGGCTCTTGGTTCTTCATGATTCTCGCCAATCTTGGTTGGCTTTCGCCAATCGCTGATTACTCCACTGAGGATCCTTTCTGCGCCCATCTTTATCGATTACTTCATCTATCTCACCTACCTCTTCCGCCACCAAAACCCCTCCTCTCGCGTCCGCGATTGGGGGCAGAACCTGGCGGTGCTGCTGCTGACGCTGCCGGCCCTGCTGGGACTTCTGGGAGTCTTCTTCTTGGCACCTCGGTGGTGCGGAGCAGAGGACAGAAAATCACTCCATTCGGACGACGGTCATAATTCACATCCGAGGTGATGGAAAAGGGACCAAATGCCACCCTTTGAGCCCTGGGTGGTGCATGGACATCCCAGATCAGCGTTAAAAGCTCCTTTTTACGGGGCTTTGACTAGCCACCCCATAATATGAGTTTGGACGTCCCCTGTCTAGACAGGAATTGGAAGGATGCAGAAGGCAGATTGGGTTTGTGTAGGAACCAGGTGGTTTGGACTGTCAGGGTTGTCATCTTGGACGAGTGGATGCGACACTGGGTGATGTTTTGGCTCGTGGTGGTTCTTGAAGATTTAGGACCTTGCAATTCTTAGAAAGACTCACTATGTCAAACATGAAGCTACTCAGTCAAGGGATTGCAAAGCTTTGACCAAGTTTTGAGATTGCAAAGGCACCTTTTGCTTATACAAAGGCTAGCTGAGCAGACCATTTCTTCTTTGGAAGTCTTCGCTTGTACTTAATCTCGTCATATTTTGTTTGTCAATGAATTAATTTGTGGCGTGAGGATCAATGCCAGACCTCGGGGTGACACCAACGGTTCATGACACCATCTATTCACTGTTTCCAGGTCTACCTTGATAGGAGGCTGACAACCTTCGTTATCCTTCATGACCAATGTGTAAATTCATCACTCCAATGCAAATCCTTGCACCATAAAAAATGGGCCATGCTGTTTCACACGCGATGAGACATGATGAGACCAAACTCTGAGGATTGCCAAAAGCGGTACTTTTTTTGCCAAACGCGGTGAAGATGTGTTCTCTCCAAAAGGGTAGACTATTAGGCACTCCGGCACTCCATGGTCGGCTGAGAGTGGAGTGGCAACACCTCCCAATGGTCAGCTCAGTGAGCGCCAAAGCTCCAGAGTTATTGCCCATTGGCCCCAAGCAATCGACTACAACCATATTATGTTTTTTCGCTGATGTATCTCGGAATCTGAGTGTATCCGAAATGCCCCATCATCATCTTGCTTGCCACTTCTAGACATCACTTCCCACTCACATTTGTCGAAAACAACGGCCACCGTGAGCTGCTCGCCGTCGCCTTGCCCCAGGTGCGGCTGTTCCCACCGAAGCCCCTGCTGAGGGGTGGTCTCTACGTCGCAGTGATGTTGACCTTGGCCACGACGCATCAGGCGCCCGCCACGACGCGGCACGTTAGACGCAGCGCCATGCGCCACGCGCCACGCGCCGTCTGTGCGTGTCGATTCCGGATGGCGCTGCGAAGATTCCAGTGCTACCAATTTGAGCAAGTGTAGTAGAAGCATGGCGGCTACAGGATTCATGATCGTCTCTATTGTCATGAATGACCTTCGACTGCTGCATGCCTGAAAAAGCCCTGCCGATGGGGTCCGCGAATGTATATATTCTCTTAAGAAAGATCTATCGAAGGTTCCTTTCCAGCAGATGCCAACTATACTGACAGAAACATGCACACCAGAAAGGCTCGCAAAATATATCATTCTTTGTGGCGGCTAGGAATTCTGATCAGCAACCATTCTCACTTCATGCTTAATTTGTGATAACAAAGTTTTAGCATGAATGATAGTATGCGGATCACAAATTAAGATCCAAACACATGAAACTTACCGTGCTTTCATGTGTTATGAAAACCGTGTGGCCTCATGGCGCGAGAAGCCAAACGAAAGTGACCAAATACGGCTCTTGTCAGATCCTTCAGGTGGTCAAATGGCTTCGCAATGGACGAGGTCGCTGCGGAAGCGTGGGCTGCGGAAGCTGCTTGGGCAAGACGGGTCCGTGGTCCATGGAAGTGCCAAGTGAAGCCGGTTCAACGGGCTCAACAGCTTGAAGATGCTTGAAGGTTGAAATTGATCACATTGGATCAATCAACTCTACTTTCAATCCCCAAATACCCTATTCGCAACATGCAAATCCAAAAAGGGATCGCACCAGCGTCAGTTGTAGAGTCCATCAGGTCAGTGGTTTTCTTGAGATTCATCGATCAGATCGCTGGAAGGCTTGGAGGTTCCAACGAGTCAAGGAAGTATACTCAATAGGCAGAAGATAAGTTCGATCAATTTGAAAGAGAGGCACATTGTTTTGGAGCTTGTTGCTAGGGTATGGGGCTTTTGATTCTTTAAAACTTTTATACAGGAGCTTGGACATGTTCAGCTGCTGTGTACATACGCTTCGGAGTCGCCGCAGTCTCGGTCCGGTCGAAAGAGTCATGCTTCGACGTGAAATGCTTCGACGTGGCATAAAACACCCCACCATCAGACGATGTTGGACATGAACAAACATAGAATATCGCTTGGGAAGTCTAGACCCGATTTCAGGCGTGACCTATTGAAAAATACAAGTGGATTGGAGTTGATTGGAGGTCCCGTCTGTTGATTTGCACCCATTGCTTGCTTTTCGCAGCTGCAGCGTCTCTTTGAGCCTCAACATGTCCACATGCTGCAGAAGCCTCATGTGGACGTTCTTGGCAAGGGAAATCAACTCGTCAAAAGAAGAGCCAACTACAATGCTATGGGCATGTGTGTGGTTCTCGAGCCAGCCTTTGGCCATGCGGCGTGGGTTGGATTGGGTTGGTCTCTAGACTCTAGGACCCCTGATGAGAGACTTGAACCCCTGATGCTTGGCAAATGGCGACTAGAATGGAATGGTTGGGAGGGAGTTCTGCGTGTTCCACACCTGATTACCCAGAGTACCCCTGTAGTAGTAATACCCAAACACTCCATATAGCCTGCAGTATGCCTACATTGACCCCCCCCAAAACCACCCCAATGTATATAGGCATATGGGGCAGTCCCATTAGGAGCGTTTGGGAGATGAATTGATGGATCAATGTCCTTGGTCTCCGCCCGTCACCGTCACCGTTGGCGGTCGGAGCGGCGGTCCCGGATAGTGGGCTGGGGCGAAACCAGCCAGGTGACCCTGACATGAGGGTACTCGTAATTATCCGAATTATCAAGCCTTTTCAACCTTCAAAACCAAACAGTTTTGCTCGAAAACGCTGTCTGAAAAGAGCAGAAAGAGCGTCGACATATGTCTTATCAAGTCGAGAAACCAAGAAACACTAGTAGGTTGGAGGCCATTAAACCAACAAATGCTAGTAGGTTGGAGGCCATCGGAGGCCATTGCTTTATTATTATGAATACTCAAACAAGGTAACGCATGCAACGCCCAGAGCAGAGACCTTCGACAGATCTCGTCAGGAGAACTGCTGGGAGACGTCGGCTGACCCGTTTTGGCTGACCCGTCAGTGAGCGCCCTCGACGCAAGCACAACGGAAGAGCAGATACTGCATATAAGACAAATATATACGAACATATGTACGAACATATACGTATATATATATATATATAGATGTACCAGTACCTTCCAACAGGTGGTTTTTGGACACCCCTGAACCTCTAAGAGACTATATAGACACCTCTTGGTGTCGGTCCTATATATATTATATATATACATATATATGTGTCACAAGTATCGTCACATGCAGTGTCACAAGTCCAAGGAATCAGACCCATGACTTGCTTGGTATTGGTTTAGAGCTTGCTGGTTTGCAGGCGGATTCGATGCCGTTCGTTTCTCGGGAAGAAAAGAACTTTCAGATCGGTCCGCTGCCTGCCTTGTCTCGGTGTTTTTTTGCGGTGTCGAGTGCAGAAGCCACGGCGAAAAGAGCCACGCAACTGGAGAAACAGATTGGGGTTCACGGGGGGCATCGGCGGCGCATGGGTTCATCCCCTTGGGCGTTAGAGTGGATTTCTGTGGGTCTGATCGAAGCTTCAGGACAGCATTGATCGAAGCTTCAGGCTGCAGGATCTTTGGGGTTTGAGTTGGATGAGTTGGATGAACCACTTTTCTGGGTTTTGCTGATCAGGTGATATGAGGTGAAATCCCCATACCTGGGAAATATGTCTTTGTATACTTCTACTTGTTCCAGGTTCCTGGGAGCCAAGCATTCCATGGGGTTGGTTGGCTTGGATCCACGGAATCGCGGGTGGCGTGGCGTTTGTGTGTTAGAAATGGTCAGATTGGGTACAATAATCCAATATATAGGAAATAGAAATATGAATGCAACAATCAATAAATCATCAATAATCCATAATAATCCAACTACATCCAATTGCTGTTTAATGCTTATTTGTCTTATGTCCAATGCTATTATTTTTGGATCAATAACCCTCCCCGGTATCTGGAATGCTCAAGCATCTTCATTATGTACGAATCCACGGTCAACATTTCAACGTGTGTGATCCACCCCCACGTTACGTATCCCGCGTTGCTTCTCCAAAAAATATGTCTTTGTGTTGTTTCTGAAAAAAACATATTTCCGGGGATTTGCCGCAGCAATGAAGTCTCCTGCCAGAACCAAAAACAACACAGCTTCCTTTCTACCCCAAAATAGCTTCGTTTCTTTCCGCAATGGCACCCCTTTCGGTACGATAAGGCCATCCGTCGTCGACGGTCCGTCACTGCAGGCATTGGTGTGGACACCTCCTTGCACAGCATCCCACGGGAGAAGCGCATGCACCTGGGCCTTCTGAGCCTCGAGACGCGACGAGTCGCGTCTCACGCGGATTGAAACGAAGGAACGAAGGTCGAGATGAAAGGAGAACCCAAACACTGCATGTATGGAACAGTTACTAATCCCTACTATAGGGCTCCAAGTACCTTTTCAGAAAGTATGACTGGACCCGCTAGTAACCAAGCCCAAACACCTTCTCACAAGATACTTGGAGCCCTAGGGAACATCATAGGGCCATTCCATACATTTGCATGCACTCTTTGAGCACGGAAGCTTGGGCCGCGGCTGGACGACGTTCCTAAATCGAAACGGACGTGAGGTCCGAGCCAGGGGTAGGCGGATCCCTGTGCCTGTGCCAGACAGCCGATGACGGAGTCCCATACATCTCCTTCAGCTTCCCGTGGTTCGATCCGGCCTGCAGCCACATCTCTCCTGTTCGCAGCTGTCCCATCATGAAGACCATGAGCTTCAAAAGCTGCTCACGCGAGGGTCCTTCCCAATTTCTACGGAATGGGTTGGTACTGACCACTACGACGACATGGAAGGAAAACCGGAGTAAATGCCCCAGGTCCAGGGTCGGTTGGTGTCGTGAACAACGTTGTTTGAAGAGCTGTTGGACTTCATACAGTATCATGCAGCATGCAGCTGCCACATCCACATCTGCACAACCAGGGACTCCCCACCTCTGCAGGTCTTCCCTCCGAGGTCTCCACTCTGAGGTCTCCTTCACTCCTCACCCCTCATCACCCCCCCGTGTCGCGAGGTCTTTTCATGACACCCACAAGGTCTACAGCCGCTTGGAGGCGATGAAGGTCGCCAAGGAGCAGGCGCCTTCCCGCGCGGTACGCTCGATCGAGCGGCAGAGGCACCAGATCCACCTCTGGTGGGAGCGAGGGTCGAAGGAGGGCCACGTGGAATCGTGGACCTGAAGGAGGTACAAACAGATGTGAAATGTAGTGATCGACCTAAACTGGTGGAACCGTTTGGTGAAAGAGGACTCTGACAAAAATGGTGAAGAAACTGTTTGGGGGGGAAGTGTAGCCCTATGGATAGACATACCGAACCTGAGCAGGTCATTGGAGATACTTTTATGCAGGTTTGGAGGGTCCAGTCGTACCTCCTGAGAAAATATGTGGATCCCAAGGGTAGGTCCTAGATGGATGGTTATCCAATCCGACAGACAGGTGGGTCGTCATTATCATATATGATCGATCATCATCACACATTTTTGTTATTGAAGAAGACACAATTTCACTGCACAAACAGGCCGTATGAAAGAAACAATTCTTATGTGTTTTGTCGTCGTGAAACCCAGCCCCATGATAGAACCAACAGGAGATTCCTGCACCTGCCTCACCCCCTTTCTGATTCGATGCACTTCGACGACGATGAACTACTTGCCCCTCCAAGACCAATGTTTCTATGTGCTTGTATGATCAAAATCAAGAGTGTACCATAGTGTGAGCTGCAGAAAGATTTGAATTCAGTTCACTGCGGTAAGGTGGTCGACCATTGAATATTCACAAGGCTAATCCCAGATGGTCGACCATTGCTCATTGCCACGCCAAGTAGATATACCAAGCACCCTTCAAGCTTGGGCAACTTGGGGGTATTGAACTAAGGACATTACAGCGTGTCCATCCAGCAAGTGTCTTTGATTTGAATGTTCTCTATGAATCCCCGAGAACACGTCACCTTTCTTTGCCTAAGGGTGATGGTTGTTTTCCCGAACTGGGGAAGATGTGTTACTTCTTTTTCCGGTGTCCGACAGAAGCAAATCCCAGCTTGTTGGCGCACGACGTCGGTTGATGTCGTTTCTGGGACGGTTTTCAACGGACCAGCTTGCCAATCGAACACCCGCAAAAAGGGTGTGAACCGACCCCTTGAGTTCAGTTCTGAAGTCAACCCCTCCGATTCTAGATGATTGAGAACATTTTTCAAAACATGAGACCGTTCGCGCACAGAAAGAGCGCGACAACGATTTTCATCATGATGACGCACATGATGTTCTTTGTTTTCCACGCAGGTTCTTGGTTTCTGGCCAGCACCGTGCCTTCGGACCAGGCCTTGGTCCGGGAGAGGGCAGCGGACTACACCAAGGACGGTCGCGAGGTGCCACGAGATCTGATGTCGAAGCCCAGATGCTCAGAGCGCCCGGAGCGCGGAGATGCGCGGAGATGCGCGGAGCGTTCGGACCGCGTCGGACGCGACGATGCCCGGGGCGACCCTGGCCGTAGGAACGGAGCAAGAAGCGCCCGGTATGGAACATAGGGCGGTGCTCCAACAAGATGTTCATAGCACTGTGAGCTCAGGGAAAAATCCGCGATGCTTGCTCCAACCATAACCGTATTAGGTGGGGTCTTCAATACTGATCATGACATTTAAAATATATTATACCTGGATCCTCCTTTGGGCGGAAAA